AGCTCCTCTTTTAGTTTTCATTTGTTCTCTGCAACTATCCACAATACCCAACATTCGTCAGCTAGCAAGTATTTTTCATCCTCAAAGAATAATACATTTTTAATGCTGTTATGACTAAGGTTAAGGTTAGGTGCAATATAAATACATTAGATGCAATCCCCATATGCTCTTGATTGCTTATGTACCTCACACATGTATATCTACAAAATTCAGTGCAGCAATATTTCATACTCGTATATACAAATGATAAATTACAACAGGCCCACTACATAGCAAAAGCCCTGGACTTATAACAGCACACTTGTATTTTTCTTCACACTGCATGCTGCGTATGAAGCGATAATTGGTCTCCAATAATGTCTCCAGTATCCATTCCATTAATGACCTCTTCAAACTCATTGCAAAAGCCTCTTTTTATGAAATATGTTCATCTTCAGCAAAAATTTGGAGCCAACCACAAGAGGCCGAACTCTGGCCTACCCTGTTGGATGAGGTTGAAGCAGAGGAAGGTGAAGCACTGAAGCGTGCTTGGGAAAACAGCCAGCAGGTAATGTGAGTGCTGACAGCCTACGGACAGGCATCATAATCATCATCAGGCCCTCGACCTTCAACACAACCCCTCCCCTTCCTCCCCACAGTGTGCGCCGCATTTGAATAATACATTCTCCTCTCCAGCCGAGACAATCCAACCTCCTCCTAACCAAGGCCAAACAAGTACAGTGTCTGCTCCACAGTACCATTCATGTTTACTACAGACCCCAATACCAAGCACAAACGAGGTCACATTTGTCAGCAAATGCATTGAATGCAATGTACTTTTTCTCAGTAATGTCGACCATGACTATTTCATCACTTGCCATTGCCAAATGTTGCACGCTTCCTATTGCAGAATGAATGTTGTAATATTATTTTTGCAATCTAGAAGAAATATCTACACTGGAAATTTAAAATATAATATAGGTGCACAAGTGCTTGACACAAATGTTAAGAATGACTAGAATGCTTTAAACAAAACGTCAGGCGTGTAAAGCATAGACTATGCTGCACAACACCTGCAAAACAGGTCTGGAAAGACCGTGTGATCTTAGAACGCACTTTGCATGTTACAGGGGGGGGAACATGAGTGAAAACATCTTTTTCTTTTTCAAAAAGACATTTTTAGATACATTTGATACATTCGAATTTTTTTTGTTTTCTATTTATTTTAAATTAGGTATCTGCAACCTTGCTACCAAAAAATAATACCCTTTTTGCATTAAATGTTAAATTAATATCTAAATAAAAATTTTAAAATATGAGATGCCATAAAATGCAATGAAATGCCATAAAAGTGTAAAATGGGTTTCAAAATGTGAAAAAAATCATGCAATTATACATTTGCATGCAAAATTTGGGACAGATAAATTGTTTGGTTTTTGATTAGTAATACTGGTTTTGTTTAGGGTTTTTTTTTACTAATTCAAAATATGTTATCAAAAATAATGTCATAGTAGAGATGGTCAAGGCCTCTGCAGGGAGACAGGTCAAAATACACAGTTTGATGTTAGCTAATTTTTCTTTACTTTTATGTAACATAGTTTTACCAAAAAGACAAAAAAAAAAACATCAAAGTGTACAGTATAAAAAATGTCTCTAAGAAGCTAAGAACTCTTTCATGCAATTCTTAGTCCAGTCCACAGATCTACAGAATCAAGAATTATTTCACTTCATGATGAGTATATGAAAGCTATAGTAACAAATGCCTTTGAACAAAACCATCTCCCATAAATCACCATGCCTCAAACTAAACGTTGTATTGCACAGCAGCGTTAAAACAACACTCAATAATTTATTCTGTTTTAAATTTTTGTATATATTATCACACATAATTCACATCACACACTGACCTTGTTTACAATCACAAAATCGATCTTCAAGAGACAGACCTTATCGAGGTTGTTTGATTGATTCAAAACACAGCTCTATTCACGCTGCATGAATTCTTCAGATTTAGGCAAGCCACTTAATTATTGGAAAAAAATGCATAAGGGAATAACAATCAATAACAATCTATATATTTGAACATTCATTTAAATATGAAAAATATGAATACCCTAATTTTAAAACAAATGTGTATGCAAGGTCACCAAAATAGCTTTTATCCAGTATATGAACTTTATAAGTACTTGGACTGAGCTCAAGCTGTGCAGCCCTTACTTGGAAGCAAAGGCACAGTGGGACCACAAAAGCACTTCTGCAGTCTAACCTAAGGCCTCCTCCCTGCTACTTTACATTTTTTGAAGTGTTTCAGTGAGCAGGTACTGGCTTACATCTGCAATGTGACAGACTTCTCTTTCAGAAACTGCAGTCGCAGAAATATATACATTTATTTTTGATAAATTATCAGAGTTTGCTAAATTATATGATACCAGGGTGATACCATGATCTTGGACATATTCTACCATAAGGGTTGGTAAGATGTTTTAATTGTTTTTGAAGGAAGTTTCTACTATTATTTCTTAAAATCTAAAATACAGTAAAAACAGTACTATTGTGACACAGCAGCACTTTACAATCAAACTGTTCCTAACAGCACTTTAAAGGGGTCATATGATGTTGCTAAAAAGAACATTATTTTGTGTATTTGGTGTGATGAAATGTGTTTATGCGGTTTAAGGTTCAAAAAACACATTATTTTCCACATACTGTACATTATTGTTTCTTCTCTCTCCCCCGCCTTTCTGAAACGCGTCGATTTTTACAAAGCTCATCGTTCTGAAAAACGAGGTGTGCTGTGATTGGCCAGCTATCCAGTGCGTTGTGATTGGCCGAATACCTCAAGCGTGTGACGGAAATGTTACACCCCTTACCATATTGTGGTGCCGTGTCCCGGCCAGAGCTACGAGACAAAAACATTAAAACCCATTATAAACGAGGCATTTGTTGCATCCAGTGGGGACATAATTACTGATTATAATGACATATACTGTCTTTTTACGTGTTGCGTTGCATCGCGCCACGTAAACATAAAACCATGTCTGCATTTGTGATCGGAGAAATGACAAACAACAAGCGCTACTCTACACTGCTTAAAAATCGCGTTTGAATCATCAGTGGCAAATAATTAAATTAAAACGTACTTACAGTCTGTGAGTCAGAACAGCCGGCATTGTAGTCTACTCTCCCAGGATCAGGACAACCGGCTTGAGTGAGTGGAGGCGGGCGGGCTGAGTGAGCGGAGGCGGGCGGGCTTGAGAATGGTGCGGCCGGCGGATTCGACGAAGGAGCAGCCGGCGGGCTTGTGGCAACCACATGTGACGACCCTGGGCTGGACTCTGCTTCGTCCACGGTGAAAGCCGATCCGGCGATCCACAGTGCGAAGTTGATGTATTTCCTCAGTGACCAGCACAGATCAGCTCTAGGCATGACGAAGCGGATATTGTCCTCTTTTGGAAGGCCAAACAAAGTAGTTTCGCTTTCACAACGAAACACACAGCGTCTTCACGACATGGCGGCGGTGGCAACAACAATACTACAGCGAGAATAAAAGTTACGCCTTCTTTCTTTGCGTGAATATTTGGGCGGCGTTATGCAAATCTTCCTACATTGTGATGTAGACATGTGGGGGCGTGTTAGAACGAGTCATTTAGGGTAAGCGTGGCTGACTCGTAACTTTTATAAAGAATATCTTTTTGGATTTGAGACTTTAGTCTTTGCAACTTTATAGATCTTCTTTATGCAGTAAGAGCTTGTAACACTCCAAAGAGAAAGGAAAAATTGAAATCGCATCATATGACCCCTTTAAATATGAATTCATCCATCCATAATACTCTTTTTTTCATCTTTTTAAGTGAGTTATTTTTCCATCTACCCCTTTATTCTAGTCTTCGAGAGTCAGATGTGGCTTTTTCTTTGAAGCTTCATCTAAAGGGCCAGTGTCTGAGAATGTTCTCTGATGAAGATGAAGCTGGTGTTTAGTGTGTGTTGTTCAATGCAGCTTCCAGCTGAGCATCAGTGAGCGGTCTGTCTTTCAAACTACAGATTCTTATACTCGTCCTCTTGTTGTGCATCTAGGCTGACCATATTTATTTCTGTGCTGGTTAGATCAAGATTGCTTTCTTCTTTTGTACAGAACAGCCTTCATCTCTCAACAGAACAATAGACTGATGAGTTTCTAAAGAAACGTGTTTCTTTTTAGTCATTTTTAAAATCAGAATTTGGCTTGCAAAAGTGACTTGCAAGAAACACAATACTTCAGCAGCTGAAAAAAACACATTGTACTGCAATTTGCACGCTTCATTAAGACACATTTTCAACTGTGCTAATAATAAAAAAGGTTTCTCCAGAACCAAATTAGCATATAAGAATGATTAGAGTGAAAAGTTTTTCTAGTAACCTGGAGTAATGGATGCTGAAAATGGGGTTTTGCTATAACAGAATTTTAAAATGTATAAAGAAAACAGTTAGTAATAATAATTCAGAATAATTCATCATTTATTAGTACTTTTGAGGGGTATAGTTTTGATCAATTAAATGCTACCTTGGCAAACAGAAGAACTGAAGACATAAAAATGTCCAATTCCAAACATAACTAAGTTACTGAAATCAGGGTCGTTTCCAGGCATAAGTAGGCGGTTGTCAAGGGCGCCACCAGCTGGAGGGGTGTCAAGGCTTAATGCCTCCGTTTACATAATGACATGGCAAAAATTCACCACGTTTTAAGCATATTTAAGCAACTGAATATTAGCATAAGAATAACAGAATTTTTTTAATGTTATCAGAAAATTTTTTATCAGAAATCCCAATATGTATTGTATTGATAAAAATGAATGATGGCGCAACTTTGCATCTAGTCCCTACTCATTTCTAGGCCAGATTATTGCAGTGCTGTTCTGGCTGGACTTCCATCATGTGCAATGAAACTTCTATAAATGACCCAGAACGCAGCAGCATGACTGGTCTTCAACAAGCCCAAGAGAGCCCACATCACACCTCTCTTTATCTCACTGCACTGGCTACAGGTTACAGCTCACATCAAGATCAAGACATTGATGCTTGCATACAGAATAGAGAATGCTTCGCACTCTCCTTCTACTCACTCTTACGAGCCTGAGGTCAGAAAGTGAGCAACATCTTGTGATACAATCTCAGAAATGCACAAAATCACATTCCAGAACGTTTTCACTCACTGTTCCTTGCTGGTTGAATGATCTTCCCACCCCCGTCTGGAATGCCAGCTGAAAAAAAAATCCTCTATGCTTTCACTTCTTCTTATTTCCTCCCTGTTTTAGCTTTTATTTTCTGAACGATTTCGTAAACATTGTATTAATAGTGCTTATTGCCTCTTTATGATAAATTGCTCGTTGTATTCCTCATTTGTAAGTCACTTCGGACAAAAGCGTCTGCTAAATTAATAAACGTATGTAAATGTAAAGTGTTCTTGTAACATATAATCTAAAGGTCATATACTTACATTTCTCATATGAAATATTTTGAATAATGGTATCATTAACCTTAAATGCATTAATTGCCTTCTAGATGTATTATATCCTAAACTTTTTACGTAATTCTAAATAGCATACTGGGAATGTCATTAAGTCTTTGTTTCATTCACAGAATTCTGTCAAGGTTTACTAAATTCATTATTCAACATAAAGGCATTAATATGTAATATTTTTATTTTCGTTAATTTAGTTTAGAATGTTAAGAAAATTAAACAATTTAATAAATGCTTGGACTGGAACTAATCAATAAGGCATCAATGGGGATCTCACCTATGATGCCAAAATGGTCAGAAATGGCGTTGACTAAAACAGTTTTGTGAGGAACATAATGACATGCTGCATTGTTTAATGTATGCAATATGTTGAAAGTTTCTCAGCATTCATTTTATTCAGTGTATAGTACATAACACACACTGCAGTGTTCACCACCATTAAAGTATCATGTAAAAACCTCACTGTGCCCCCCTAAACACATTCCTTCACAGATCATCTAGCTGCGCAGACATCTGATTCTTCAACAGCTGGCTCTTTTCCACAGAGCAGTCTGTTCAATGTCCATGGGAGAAATCAAGGGTAAATTAAAAAACCAAACAAATGCTGTCATTTAAGTAACACACAAAACAGATTATCGCATGAAAGAGTGTCCTTCCCAATTCTAGCGGTCAATATTTGCTGAATATTAAATCCTTTAACACTTCTGCAGTGATGCTGATCTAAAAGATACAGCTGTATCACATGTGCAGCGTCCAATCAAGTGGCCTAGTTAGTAAACAGGCTTGCTGACTCAGCAGCATAGGGTTATGAACACATCAGCAGAACACAGAGATAATCACTGTTTTCATTATATCGTGCTGCAACATTTTTTTTTTCCTTGGGAAATGTAAATATTTCTTGAGGCTTGTGGTTTCAGATCATTGTTTAGCCCTTCACAGTGCTCCTCATGAAAGCTAGGAACTAGGAATGAATTATTTAGTAGCTTTTTGTCTTTTACATAATACATCACAGGGTTAACAAAAGGTTATGCCTGTGATACATATAGAAAATAGGCCTTAGATAAATAATAGTTCTTACAGAAAATATACAAAAGAAAAGATGCCCCCATTACATTCATTGGACACATTGCATGCATGTACTTGAAACAACCTTGGCTGTTAGGAATTGTAATCCGGACACAGTAATAAAAGTGACAATATAATTACTATTCATCTGTCAGTCATCATTAATAATCATGCGACAAATTCATTGTCAAGGAGGCCTTTATTATTCTGATTGGCTAACAATTTTCTACTGTTTTATTTCAGAAGAGTTTTACAGTGATATCTTTCAGGTTGAACCTTAATAGTTCACCTTCAGTTGCTGGTCCCCATTGACTTGCATAGTGTTTTTTTTCTCTCCATACTATGGAAATCAATGGGGCCCTGCAACTGAAGGTGAACAATCCTTTTAATATGGAAGTTAACTTTCAGAAAACATACAATAATTTTTAACATCTAATAGAAGTAGGGGATAGCCTAGGATATAACAGATCTTTCTATTTCTGCAAACAAATGTTTTGTTAAGACATATTGACATATATATATATAAGCAGAGGCGGACAGTAACTAAGTACATTTACTTGAGTATTGTACTTAAGTACACTTTTTGAGTATCTGTACTTTACTTGAGTATTATTTTTTCTGGGAACTTATGACTTTAACTTCACTACATTTGAAAGACAAATATTGTACTTTTCACTCCACTACATTTTTATCAAGGACTTTCTAAGAAAGTCGTTATTATATAGCAGCTTTGAAAGTCAGTGGGTGATTTTTTTCTTCTCTAAAACATGACTTTCTTTTTTTCAGACAGTTTATCAGTAATCACTCTTGTAGGGCTACGTGAAGTGATTTCCCAGCATTTTTTGAACACTGAGCAGTTGCAAATGTGATATTTATTTAAAATAATTCAATAAGAAGAAGTTAATATTGTGGTATATATTAGACACAATATTGTCTTATTTTGCTAAATTGTGTAAGTGAAAATATGACCTATAAAGCCACAGAAGAACTGTTGTGCATCTCCTAATAAAACACAAAAGGTGTTGGACTTGAAGCAGCACTGCACAGACTGTTGTGTGTGTGACATCAAAGTACTGCGAGAGCGATTAGCATTTTAATTTTTTTTGTTTTGATGTCAAATAAGTCGTGCTGTTTTGCTTTTTTGTTAAAGCAGTGTTGCTGTTATAAAGTTACACAGCTACAGCTGTATAGCCGGGTTTTAAAGCAGGTTTTGATTTTGTTTCTTCCTTATCACTCTGTATTTACAGGATTTCACTGTCCACGCTGTTCAAATATGGATGAATGGCTACACAGAGATGTGTGAGATCACTACCATCCTGCTTTTGTGGGGGTGAGTAGGGCTGTTAAATAATTATTTGTATTTTTTTGTTTTGTTTAGTTTTTCCCCATAAGTTTGTAACATTCTAAAAGCTCTTTATTCCAAAGATACTACAAGCTAGTCAGTGTATTCAGCAGGTGTAATGTATTCTAAGTTGCTTGAAAAGTATTGCAAGTATTACGTACAACAACAAAATAGTGCATTGACATAAAACAGGAAATTTACTTTTGGTACTTAAGTACTTTTAAAAGCAAGTACTTCTGTACTTTTACTTAAGAAAAAATCTATCTTTACAACTTTAACTTGTAATGGAGTAATATTTGACCAGCAATATCTGTACTTTCACTCAAGTAATGGAGTTGAGTACTTTGTCCGCCTCTGTATATAATACATATACTTTCATATTATGTGTACTGTGTACACCAGTTACCGCAATGAAACGACACTGATAACAACGGAATGTGTTCCGGAGTGGAACGTTATTTATCTTCTGTTTCTAGCCGAACATTAAAAACGGGCACTACTGCCTTTCGCTTTAATACTTTTCTTTTTATATTAGTCACACATTTCTTACGTAATTGACGCTATCTGTTTACCTTTGTAAACGGTGTTTATTATTTATTATAACAAATATGACGTGTAATATATACCAGATCGGTATTTCAATACCTTGATCAGTATAGTTGTGTTTCTCGCAAGCAAGTAGTAAACCATTCCTGTGGTCGCTTTTCACCAGATCATCAATCACAAGTAGGGCTGGACGATATGGCCAAAATTTATATCACGATATATTTCTTAATTTCGGTCGATACGATATAATTCCGATATCGATATGAACACTATTAAAAAAGTCTCATAAAAACGGCCAAGAACGGCCACAACAGATGTCTGTACCTACAAACTTATGAAAAATTAATCTGCCAACTCTACGAAACCTACTGCTATAAAACTACATAATATTTTAGGAAAAAAATGGCGCAAATAAATAAATGTTCACTTTTTATTGGTATTTAACCTTCATATAAACAAGAAATGTGAAATCACTGTCAAATAAATCTCAGACGCTCCTTATTAATATTAATATTAATATATTTTTTACTTCAAACTATAGGCTAACATACCAGTCAAAAGTTTTTGAACAGTAAGATTTTTAATGTTTTTTAAAGAATTCTCTTCTGCTCACCAAGCCTGCATTTATTTGATCCAAAATACAGCAAAAACAGTAACATTTTGAAATATTTTTACTATTTAAAATAACT